TTCCAGGCCCTCTTTTTCTCCATGCACAGCCTGCCCTCAGCACATTCCCCTGCCCTAGGCGACCACAATTCCTTTTGGATCACTGGTGCCACTCCAGGCATGTTCCCCAGGCTGAGGATTGTCTCCAGTGTAAGAGGGGAAGGCTTAGCTGGTACCTGAAGGCTCTTGAAGGACACCATTAGAACAGCTTGCAAGCATGAGGCTGCTCAGCCCCTGAGAGAGACAAATACCATGGCAGAAACAAAAAGCTGTTAGATATAAGTTCACATAGTCTGAGATGAGTATTTACTGATTCTCACAGCACACATTTATACTTTTCATACTTTTTCATACTCTTTCATATTTCTATAAATAGATCTCCTCAATAAAACAATGAAGCACTATGAAAGTGTCCCAGATTGAGCAGCAAGATGTGTCCATTTGCCATCTGTATAGCAGTTGTCTTCTGTTAAGTAGGCTTTCCTTATCTCGTCCACAACCAATACTCACTCAGGGGAGACATCTGCTGATAATGGGCCACTGAATGTCACTGCATGACTGATAAGAACTAGAACATCCCACTGTGAGATGCTCCGCCCAGAGGGAGGAGCCAAGCATTACTACCTGGATACAATCTCAAGTTTCTAAAACACCAGCACAGCTTTTTCTGCACTGGATTTCCCAGAAGAACAGCTGCCTCTTCCACTGCAGGAAGCCTACACCTTTCCTACAGGATCACTGCTCCAACAGAACCACACCTGACACTCCAGGAGCTCTGCAGCCACAATTCCCAATTGGACTGCGGCCAACACCCTGACCAACAGAGTGTCAGGTTGTATTCTGACTCTGTCAGTGTTGTTTTGGTTCATTACATTGTTTGGGTTTTTTTAAAATTTATTTTCTTCCCTAATAAAGAACTGTTATTCCTGCTTCCACATTTTTGCCTGAGAGCCCCCCTTAAGTTCAAATTTATAATTCTGAGGGAAGGGGTCTACATTTTATCATTTCAGGGTAGGCTCCTGCCTTCCTTAGCAGACACCTGCCTTTCCAAACCAAGAGAGAAAGTTAAATGGGGATTTAAATTTCATTTTTAAACCCGAATGGTTTATAGTATACACAAACCTCAGATACCTTCCCGAAATCAAAATGACAATATCATTAGTGAGTCAGAGAAAGAATGAAAATGTTTTCAAACACACACACACACACACACATACACACAGAGTTTGTGGCATCTGTCTATGGCACTGACACACAGAGCCAAATGTAAAGGATAGCCTTGGTGACTTATGAACTAAATTGAATTTACTGCTTCTGAGGATGTGAAACTGTGAGCTGGAAAATTGGTAGCATGTGTAATTTCAGCACTCTCTAGCAAATGACCAAACCTTGAACACCCCAGGAAGCAGGGGAAAAGCCCTTCCAGGCATATATTTGTGTCACAAGGAACTTCAGAATTAAAATGTTTCAGTTATTTTCATATCAGAATCAGAAGCAATGTGTGTGTATCTCCACATCAGATTTTCAAAGGGGTATTTTGTTTATTTTAATATTACCCAGTTAACACTTTCTCTTGTATGACCCAGTGTGCAGCCAGGGTTTGACTGGTTCCTTACCACTGCTGCTGAGCCCTGCATGGGGACCTCCAGTCACTATCAAAGTGACCCAAGGGCAGCTTCCTCAAAGCAGGACAGAGGGAGTCTGGTGAGATGGTCAAGTCCCCAAGTTACTGGTGAAAACTTTGAAACTACACAAAGTCTGAAATCATGAAACAATACCAAAACTCTGCCAGCAGGCTTACACCTAAAGTTGATTTTCATTTTCAATTGTGAGGCTATTTCTGTTGCCTGTGTTTTGATTTCCAGTCTCGGCACAGTGCTATCTACCACAAAACTAATTTTTACAAGCCCAGTCCTTCAAAGCAACCACTTTATCTGTAACTGAAGACAAAAATCTTGCTCAAGTTATGTTTGCTAAAGCACAGGACAACTGTCTGTGATGTAGTTTAACCTAGAACAAAGAGAATTTTGGAAAAGACCTATTCAGTAAGAAATTGTCAAGACACAGGTGGACTCTGTTGTTATGTACTTTAAAACCTAAGCATAAGTTTGGGCTTGTGCACCTTGACAAAACTGTAGCTCAATGAGCAAAGAACCTCTTTTGTAATTTTGCTGTCAGCATTAACATTTCAGAAAAATGGAATGCAAAAGCTACTGAATTAAGATAAATTACATGCCTTTAACTTCTTATTTTGAATTCTGATTCAGAAACAGAATTCAAGATTCTTTGTATGGAATGCATTTAAAAGTTTGTTCAGCTGAAGCAGGATTTAGGAAATGCAAGCTGACCAGCCTGTACTTAAGTGCTGCTTTGAATTTGATGCTCAATCACAAACAGAAATGCACAAATTCTTTCATTATACTTAACACCAAAGTGAGGATGAATTCATTTAAGCTATTTCATCCTCCTGAAATTAGCACAGGACTTCACCAAGCCTTTCCAAGTGATAGGTAAGGTAGTTAAGAACCAGAAAACCAGCAACAATGCACTTTGAGTGAGTTTTCTTTCATTTCATGCTTGGTTTATTCCCATGTCTGCCACATTTCTAAATTCGTTACTAAGTACAAATAGTTATGCTAAAATGAGCTAGATACATACCAGGAGTAGTTTTCTTTCTCCATTTAATGCAACCTACTGCAGAAAGCCTGAATAAAAGGTAAGCCCCATCATATGCACTGGAGATGGTGGAAATCCAACAGCATTTCAGTGCCCTGAACAGACTACATAGGGAGTATGGATTCTGCCTGTATCTTCCAAAAAATGGATGCAAGCAAAGGCTCTCAGTAGCTGCACCAAAGAGAACAAACTGAATATAAAGCCCAGATGCACTGCACATGCTCCCAGCTGTGATCCTAACACAGGAGGTCACCCAGGTACAGCTGCACCCCGTGTCCCTTCCAGCCTGGGGAGGGAAGGGCTGCCTAAGACAGACCCCCAAAGCTTTGTGCACCAGAGACATCTCACAGAGCAACTGCTCACAGCTTCTTCGTAAAGACTTTGGGGTGCTGGGGAACACCTGCAATACCCATTGCCTTATGGAGGGCTGACAAACCATGCGCCTTATGGAAAAGCACCTTTCAATTTCCTTTCCAAGCTATGTCTTGTAAATTTCATTATTTCACATGTTTGATATTTTATCGTAAATGCAGAGTGATTAAACATCTGAGGAAGCTGGGTAGAGGTGACGTGTTTGCACTGTACAGCAGCACAGTCACCTCACCCGTTCTGGCTCAGGTACCTTTTTCCTTGGGGTGCAGCAGAAGTCACAGTGTGCCTGTTTTCCATCATCACGAGTCCAAGCCTCACCAAACAGCTCCAGGAAGAGACAGGCCTGTGTCTTTACTGATTGGTCAGGCACCAGATTTTCTTACCAGTCTGCTGAATCAGTGAACCATGCATGAAATACTTACTTTATCCCTTGGACCCAGAGTCCAAACCACAACTTGGTCCTCAAGGCGCTAGTGGCAGGCAGCCACCTTCAGCACTAGCCAAAATTTCTAAGCATACACCAGCAACATCTAAGGCCACACAGGCAGAAATCTACAAGTTAGCTCAAAAAATGGAAGTAGAACAGTTTTATTGCCCAGGTTTTGCAATGTGATTTATACATGTCAGCTTGGGGGAGTGTCTATCAGTTCTCCCTCTGCATTCCAGTGCAACATGGAGCACAAATTCTGTACTGATTCTGAGCTGCCTGTGCAAATCAAGCCCATGTGAACTTGTCCTCATGTGACTGCTTATGTACTGAATTCAGCACCTTTCTTTCCCATGTTAAATAGAGAGCACAGAGAGTTTAAAATAATAGTAATAATTTTTTAAAATCTTAAATTAATTGATCAAACCCAATCCAATTTCACTGTGGATTACCTAGGGGAAATGTAGCAGGCCTGTGACACATGAAAATTTATTTCTAATAGATATTCTTATTATATTCATGAGGAGAGAAAGTATATTTCCCCTAATTTATAATTTTTTGTTTTTTTTCCCATAGCCTTTTCCCAAGGCAAGCTTCTTCAAAATCAATCTCTGTAGCACCCAGACATCCAGAATGATATTCCACTTCTAAAGCAGGCAAAAACTCAAGAGAAATTCAAATACCTGGAACATGCTTTTCCTTGCAGTACAGCACTGAAAGCAAAAACCACTTCATAAAATAGAAATTAAATGTTAAATCTATGTAAGACTGCATTTTAATCAAGCACAAAAGGCAATACAGCAGATGGAAGTCATCATGCAATTCTGCCCCTGCTGCACATGTCTCTTTTTTAAAGCACATTTAAGGAGTTCTAAAACAAAATCTTTCTTCACATAATTCTCAGTAGTACAGAGTCATCTTGCCATCATTTTGTGTCTTAGTTCTTATTTTACTGCTGCTTTATATATTGTGTTTTATCAAAGTAATACATACGTGTCTTCTGTTATTCATTATGTGCTCCTCATTTACTAAGACTTCAAACTTGCTAGCTCAGTATCAGCAGAAATCCAGCTGTGGCAGAGAGCAGTCCAGGCTATACAGCCTGAGCAGGAGCAGTAAATACCTTGCTGATAACCTGCTCTCAACCCTGTGCTGCTCCACTTAAACCATTACTAGGCCTTGAGAGAGTTTCACTGTAGAGCAGCCATGTGCTCTGAGCTGGCCGGGCTCTCCTTGCTAGGCTGTGCTAATCCTGTTTTCTGCTTTGTTTACTCAGCAGTTTTACAGCACCACTTCTCTGTGTTATTGCTGTTATTGGCACATGGACAGGGACACAGCAGCAGTGGAGAGGAGTGGTGCTCTGAAAAATGACTGCTCACTCTGCTCTCCGACCAGCTGCAAGGAAAGGCTTCCATTTCCAGTTACTCTGCTCAGGCATGCAGGCCAGGTAAATTAATTTGAGTAGCCTCTTAAGAAAAAAATCCTAAATGAAAATTGGAGTAACACTATTATTCATTCAGATACAGTCAAGAGCCACGTTGCTTACCTATGGATATGGTCCAAACTGCAGCAATTTTCATAATGGCCTTGGTGCGGGAATTGAAGCGGCTGTGCTCAATGGGATTGCGAATTGCTACGTACCGATCAAGAGAGATGGCACAGAGATGCATAATAGATGCAGTTGAAAAGAGTACATCTAGGGAAATCCATATAGGGCACAACTGTTTAGGCAAAGGCCAAGCGTAATCTGAAACACAGAGAGAAAAGAAATGCAAGGAAAAAAAGGAAAGGAAATAATTGGTGAAGCTAGGCCATCATTTCTGAGAAACCACTGGGATATTTTAGGTCTGTGACACCAGTAAGAGGCACACGCATGAGGACTGGACAGGAAACCTCTCATGGAACTTCTCTGCAGGCAGTTCCTGGCTCTGGACACTGCATAAACCCATAGCCAGTTCCCATGCATCTGGTTTCTGTGACCAGTAACTAAAGCACTCTTAATATTTCTTCCATATCTTTACAAAATAAAATGTTACATTCCTTTATAACTCCCTCATCACATTGTTCTCATGGATTGCAAAGCACTTTGTGGCATTAACTTGACTCAGATCCTTTCTAAGACTCCTTTGACATGTCTGTCTTAGTTTCTGTTTGCTGAGAAGAAAGGTAGCAGACAGTCTTTGTGCACAGTCTAACACATTGCTAAATGACACTACTTTACCTTTTCTCCCCAGGCAGTGTGCCTTGATATCAAAGGAATACTTGCCTCCTTACAGAGCTGCTAGGACTGAGTGGCTGAAATTCAAAAACTGTTTTGAAGGTAGACAGAGTGGGGTGTTATTCTTTACAGAAACTATGTCAGCAAGCAGAACAGACTTGATAGCCACATCTGACAGCAACTGGCACACAGCTCATTCAGGTGCCTGCACTTTTTAAACAGTTTACTCTGTTCTGAAGTACAGCTTGAGAATAAAAGTGACCCAGAAATATCCCCAAGGGCCACTGATATTAAAATCAAAGCTCTGAGAAAATTGATTTGTGAATGATACCCCCACATCAGTGTCCAGAATGGATTGTGTGAGATCAAAAACATGTCCTGCCAAGCTGTGGGCTTCTTATCAAAACAAATCAAGAGTATCTATAGCAGCTGAAAACATGAGAGACTTCATAATAGTTGAATAATGAGATATTCCCATGTCTTCAAAATTGCTTTAGACATTTATGTTCTGAATGAAGCTTACCGCAAGGATCAGAATCATCACTCTGCAGAATCAATGTTATATTAAGAATGGTACAGCTCCATTCTACTGATCTCAAATGGAAAGGATGAAACATTAGTCTCAGAAGTCATAGTCAGTTTGAAACAAATTACTCAGCAAAGAGAGATCCAGGATACCTTCATACAGAAACCTGAGATTAACTGAATCAGAGTAAATTATTATGAAATGTCTCAGAGAAGCCCAGGAATCTTTCACAAAGAGCAGAGAGGAATGAGATGGACACATTAGTTCATTTTACCAATGGGAAACAAGCAGATGAAGTGCTAAGTATTCACCAAACCCACACAGCCAGATCTCAGCTCTGGGGAAATAAGCCACTCATTTCAGGGAATTTACACCACATCTATTAAATAGACTGAAACCCACAGCAGCAAGCATTTGAGAGGTCCCTGTCAAAGGGAACTAAGTAAAGCACTTTGTGGCTGGAGCATCTTTACTTTAAAAGGCACCTCTGCTGTACACATGAATAGAGCTTGATTAAATATGACTCAGCCCCTTTATAGCGCTATGATCAAATTCTCTGCTTCCTGCTCACCTTCACACTTTGCAATAGCTGAGGACATCATTGCCATCAGCCTGCAATTGAGCTCAGAACTGCAGCTAAGCACATCTTGGATTTGCTGGGCATTTAGCAATGCCTCAGTGAATGCTCCGGGTCAGAACAGGCCAGAAATCCTACAAGCTCTGCTCCCTGCATAATCCCAGGCTCTCACTGCCTACCCACACTAAAGGACATTCAGCTCACTTTACCCCTCACTACTTTTCTGAGCTACCAGAGCCAGGTTTGTGCTGCAGGCTGAAATGAACCACAAGCACAAAGGTCCTGAGTGTGCCCAGGTGGAGGGAGCAGTCCCTGGGAGCTTGGGCAGAGTGATTATGGCTGTGCAGCAGCCTCTGCAGAGGGGAGCAGTGACATCGATGGCTACTCCCCACATCGGGCAGATGGCCAGGAAACCCCCAGTGTCTCCAGAACAAGACAGCCAGCCTCCAGGCTTCCTGTGCATGGAAGCCTCTCCAGGCTGAGCCATGGTGCTGCAGGTGGGCACAGTCTGATCCCTAACATTTGCTCGACTTGGAAGAGGTTTCTACAGCAACCACATTTTCAGAGTTACTGAATGATGAACAGCCTTTTTTACTTCTTCCTTCAAACCACTCAAACACTTCCAGTGACTGATTCCCCCTGGAAGAACTTCTGCTATTGAAGTGAACTAGCACAGCATCCCAACCCAAAACCTATCAGCAGCAAAAGCATGTTAGGAGAGGAGACATCACCTGCTGTCAGCCCTGGCACTGCAGAAACCACAGACACCAACAGACCCAAGTCATGCTGCCCACAACTACTGCCCAGGCAAACTGTCAGGATGCTTGTAAAGATAAAGGTGAGATGAGAGTTCTCCTAATGCCAAATCCTTTTAGTCCTTCCCATCCCAGGGCACTCCATTATGCTTCTAGCTGAACAGCCACAAGCAAACATTTTACTTTCTCAGGAAGTTTCCTAAAATGATCTGCAATAACAAAATGTCATTCTGGAAATTTGTAGAATGGCAGCTTGTAACACATCACTGTAGCTGGATAGGAAGGGCATTATATATATTCTAGCGCAAAATGTAATTATTTTTAAGTAAGCATGGTACGTGCCTTTGAAAAACACCTACACAGCCTACAAAGCCAGTAATTTAAAAAGAAAAAAAAACAAGCTTTATTCTAATTCTGTTTTGAATAAATGTACAAAACATAGGAAATGTGCATGGTGACTGTGCCAAGATGCAAACAAGGATTAAAAAAAATCTGTTAGCGATGTTATACCTTTAAAACAATTTTATCTTCAGAAACGCTCTAATTACAGAGGCTAACATTTCTCTATTTTGTTTTTTTTTTTCTTATTTAATTTACAAATAATAGCAATTACCCTATATTTAGAAGAACAGATGACTGAGTGAAATGAATTCTTGGACCCCAGCACCTCTAAGATGTAGTAATTGCATTTCCAATGTAAACATTCATCTGAGTCCAAATTTGGGTCCAAGAATGAAACAGTGCTAAACACCTGCATAAGCAAAAAACCAAATTCCTTGTAACAAACACTGATTTTTGTATCTTGACTTAATCCGAGCCCTTAAAATCATATATTTAATGCACTGGCAGGTAGACCAGTGTAGATAGGTAGATAGGAGAGTGCTGAAGGGAATTAGATGAATGTAGCAGATCAAAAGAGAAGCTGTTATTTCTCTACACAACATCTAATCAAACCACAGATTTTTTTGCCTCCTGATATTTTGTGGGTGGTAGAAATTTACACTGGCCAAATTCACAGAGAAAAGTGTATAGAAAACTATTGCAGTGATATTACTTTGAGGTCAGTGTTAGCTTCTACCTCTGATCAGAATAAAACCAGCATGTAAAAAATCCTTGCAGGAAGGCAACTTCTGCAGAATATTACTTCAGCCTCTAGGACTGAATAGCATCTCATGGCATCTATGGTTGATGTGGTTCCTCACAGGACACATGGGACAAACACTCATATTTAACCAGAAGTCATGGTCCCCAGGTGGGATTTCATCTCCTGCCCCAGGATGAAAGATCAAACCACAGTTTCTGTGTGTCACTGAGCACCTGAGATGAGCACAAACTGTTGGCAGAAAAATAAAGAAACTCAAAGGCATTTTGGCAAAGTCACAGACCATCTCCATGTGTAGTTAATTTGCTGTCAAATAAGAGTTCCTTACATTTTTTTTGTTTTTCATGAAGAAAAATGGCAGCTATGAAACTGAGTCACTTTTGTCAGAGGCTTTATGCATATGGGTAAAAAGTGTTGCTTAGCAGTGTTATGGGCATTGTACTGTTCAGTGCACAAGAGTCAGAATTACCACCTACTGTAGAAGGAAGTGACTGAATAATCCAAAACACAGCAAATGGAAGCAAAATTAATTATGTCAAATGGTAAAACAGAATTACTCCAGATTGTAGGAGAATGGTTGTACAGGAAAAAAAAGTCTGCTTCTTGTACATATCCAGTACTTCTACAATGCAATCTGCTCCAGGATATCTCCTGGGAAAATCTAGTAGAACACCTAGAACAAATCTGGAATAACCGCAACAAAACGCCTGCTTACACAACAATAAGTGAAGAATGATGTAAAATTAATCTCTTTATCTTCAAGAGATTTTAATGAGAAACTCACAGCAATCTGCATCAATCATTTCTTTTCCAGCCATGAACAGGATTTGGAAAAGGTTTCAGCACACATTTGCTGTGTTTAGCCAGTGCCTTGTATCCATTGGGATGGATAAAAGGATAAAAACCATCCTTCAAAATTACACAGGAAAAAAAAAAGGTATATTTTGTCTCATTATGCCATTTCACATACATATACATATATGCACAATATAGATACTATTTATGTAAAAGAGAGAGGCAACTCATGCAATATAAGTATTAAAGATGCTTATGTATTCAAAAGCCTCTTTTATCATTGTTCATTGGGTTGACTAAAAATTAAAATATATGTAATAGTTCTCATTTTAGGCTTCTGATATTTACTGTATTTACAATTCACTTTTAACTACTTTAATGAGTTGAATGAAGAAAGGCAGGAGCTTGAATAAATCTCAGTATAAAGCAGAACTGCCCAGCAGTTAAAATGGCAACACCGTGAGTGCTTGAAGCACCTTTTGATCATCCTGTAGCTGCCACAGGTCTGTTTCAGGCCATACACTGACCCACTGCTCTGCAAAGTGTTCTGACACTTGGAAAGGTCAGCAGAAAAGATCCAGGAGATGCCTCAGATAACTCCCTGGGAATTCCAAAATCAGCAGAGTGCCCCAAGCAATGACAGTGCTTGCTTGGGTTTCCTTGCAGCAGCAGACAATGCAAACAGCAACTTAAAACATACCCCAAACCTGTCACTTTCTGAAGGGTTTTGCTGTTTTTGAACATTCTTTCACACATCCCAGGGAAACCCACTGT